CCCCCCCCCCCACACACAGGAATTTAAAATTCGGGAAACTTTTCAAAATCCCTTGTTGCTCCTGTTGTAGTTGAGTGGATTTGGTCCCCAGCCGACAGGGTCATATCTGTTCCTTCCCCTCATTTCATCCTCTGAATGTTTGCTTCCACATAAAAAAAGCACAAGGCAGACCCAGGCATTACCCTGACTCCATCTTCTTGTTATAGAAAAGTCTTGAACTTGGAACAGCTACAGGGGAATGCCATCCCTGAGATCAGTGGAGGCCAGCTGTCACGGGTGGGCTCTGACCAGCCTGTTCCTTCTCCTTTCTCACTCTCCAGGAACAGCATCGCTGCCTCTGCCGTGTGTGTCTTCAACCTGAGCGCCATCTCGCAGGCCTTCAATGGACCTTTCAAGTACCAGGAGAACTCTCGCTCGGCCTGGCTGCCTTATCCCAACCCCAACCCCAACTTTCAGGTAATCTCAGAGAAGAGGGCATCACGAGTATACTCCAGGAAGGGAGCAGAAACCCAACATAGCCTAGCGAGCCCGAGCAATTAAACCTTGACTGCATGCACCGTGCAGCTGCAGTCTCCTGGCCCCTGGGGGACAGCACCTCCCTCCCTAGGCTTAGCTAATGTCAATAGAACACAGCCTTTTGTGGGCTATGGCGCCTAGACAAGGCAAGGGCGCCTTTTGTGAGCTGTGATGACTGATGGTTAACTGAAAAAGGCCAGTCTTCTGCAATGGGCTAGGAATCCAGGCTTCAATTACTGTTAATAATTATGTACTGTGTCCCCCAAATCTCTGGTCGCTAATGAATGATGTCCCAAAGAATAGGGCCCAGGGTACGGAGCAATGGGTCTTGACAGACATAATTAGAGCTCTAATTGGCAAGTATGGTGAGGCGTCCTGTTGGGAAGGGTGGACTGTGGCTGTGGCTGCTGAGAAAAGAAGCCTGGCTACTGTTGATTCATCTTCGGTCACCCAATTAGAATGGTCAAGCTGCGATGTCCCGTGTCAATCACCCCACCTTCTATGTGCAGAAAAGGCAGAGACGGGAGGATGATGGCTATTTATTTTGTTTGTCCTGACAGCAAGTCTATTCATCTGCTTGGGAAGCTGTAACAAAATGCCACAGTTTAGATGGTATTGGGGGTGGGGGACACTTTATTTCATCGTAGTACCCTACACTTTGAAGATCAATATGACAACAGGATTGTTTTCTGCTGAGGTATTGAAAAGGACCAGCTTTCCCTTGGGTCCTCCCTTAGAAGTCAGAAACATCGCTTGTAGCTGGTATTTTTTCCTCCATCCCACTGGGCAGTGCGTGACTCCTATGGCACTGAATGCTTCCTAGAGGCCCTGTCTTCAGCTACTACCATGCTGAGAGATAGAATCTTCATACGAATTTGGGTGCAGCACACACAGGAACAGCATTCCCTTGTAGCTGTTCTACAAGTAGGCCTGTAGCTGTCAACTCAGCAAAAATATTTACCATCACCAAGTTCCTGATACGATGCCTGATGTGTCAGGTGTGTAGCTTTACATGTGTCATCAGTGCCACATGCGTGATACTGCTCTATGTCCCGAGTCTCAAGTAAAACAGCCACGGCCACATCTGGTTGGAGATCAAGCTCAGCTCCTACCTCTACCAACAGAGGCAAAATCCCAATCCCATTCAACTAAGTGCTTGTTAACCGCAACCATTGATCAGTGACAGAACTGAGTCCTCCCAACCACGGAGTTCTTCCAATTTTGGTTGGTTTATCATCCCAAATTATAGAAGCAGGGACTACCAAGAAAGCAGGCTTAAGAAAAAGTTCGGATTTTTACACTTAGATTTTGGGTGAACATCAGTCAATTACAATTGAGCTTTTCTTTATTTGTTCAATATTTTTAAGGTTTTTGACAGTATGGGATTAAGAATAAGATAACAAAGTGTTTATCAAACTGTTAGCATCTTCTCATGCCTTCCTTGACAGAAAGGGGAGGGAGGGATGCAAATAAACTTGGAAGTACCCATCCATATGCTTGATTACTGCCCAAAGCATTCGATTGAAAGGGCCCATGGGGACCGTCTGTCTGGAGTCTTCTGTGTCCTACACATTGAGTAATTGTATATTTTAACTGGTGTTTTTTTCTTTTTGATATAAAGAAGAAAATATATTATCACTTTTTAAAAAGTGTTTAAGTCCTGAGGTTAGAAAAAAAAAAAAAACAAGACACTTACATTTATAGAGCCTGCCATTGCATTATCCCTCGGACTGCAGCTCTTCAAAATAAACTGAGTGACTCAGCAGCTTCACAATTCTTTACACTACTAAGGCAATCTGTAGATTTAGCCCACGCATCCAGATATATCCATAGCACATAGCTAGTAAGTGCCCTCGTGTCCTACTTTTACAATACCAGGATCACATCAACACATTTGCTTTCATCTATTAGTAGAATTAGATCCCAGCAGAACTGTGAAGGGGGCATGGGCAGAGGTAGTTCACACGCCAGGCAAGAAGCTGGGTCAACTGACATCATCCTCTGAGCCTAGATTTGAAACTTTTAGGACACTAAAGTTGTAGATTATGGTAGTGGTGGTGGTGATACACACACACACACACACACACACACACACACACACACACACACACATATATATATATATATCATATATATGTTTGTGTGCATGTGTGTGTTTGTGCATGTGTGTCCATCTCTTACTACAGATAGGTTTCTATTTATAGATTGTGTGTAGTAGTCTCATTGTCATAGGAACCTGACTGATGTTCTAGCTCTCATCTAGACTTTCAGAGAGTGGGAACTTATTTTGTAGCAAAGATCCCCCCATTAGACATATATAAGTGTTGCAACATTGACAATAACCAATGGTGGTATTTCTAGTTATTATTGTTAACATTATTGTTGTTATTATTTTGGTTTTCTTCTTGCCAGTTAGAATTTATGTAGTAAATACACATTAGGAGAGAAAATGATTAACTGGGGTAACTGGTTCAGGAAAAAAATGATCTAGGAAGAGAAATACATCACACTTTGAAATCTCAATTAAAACCCACGAAACAACAGAAACTACTTCGCCACCCTTAATCAGTCCCAGTCCCAACACCCTCGGTGGTATTTGTCTGCCCTGGTAGAGGTAGGAGATCTTGACCCCCATAAGATCATCAGCCACTTAAAACACTGTCAGACAGAGCTTCAGAACCACTTGGTGACAGGCTCCAGAACTTTCCCAAGTTTTATTACCAACAATCAGAAACAATGCAGCCAAAATGGAAACACAGGAGTGCAGGAGCAGTCAGACAAGAAGACGGCTTGGGGAATGCAGGCTGAGGTTTAGCTTCATCCGGAGAGTCTGTGAACACACACTTCTCTTGACAGCGAGGTGTGAAGGAGCAGGGGAGCCAGTGGACAGAGACACCTTGTCAAAGATGAAGTTAGCCCATTTAAAGCTTGACCATCAAGCATAAGTGTGCTGGAACGAGGAGAGATGTGCTGTGCCTGAGACAGAGAACACACAAGCATTTATTGTCTTCCAGCAATTAATGTAATGTAATAGAATTATTTGACAGATATTGAACATAGGTATGCTTTTTTCCATTCTTGTGATTTCTTCTTGTGTGGGGTCCCCCGGAGTAGCACATTACCTAACGGTGTCTAGGGGAGACCAGTGTCTATATAAGGTTCAGCTAGAGAATTTATAGCCCTTGGAGAGCTTAGTGAGCTGCTATACAGCAAGAAATATATCCAGTAAATTTGAATAGTTTTCAAAATATTGGAAACAGAATCCTTGGGTGAGATATTCGTTATAGGATAGCAAGAGCAAAGAATGGTAGAAAACACTTCAAATACAGTTCTTGATAAGACAGGCAGACAACATACAGAAAACATGGCCTCAAGGAAGAAATGTGGTCTATCCTAGCACTCTAACAGCCCCGGGTTCGCGATATCTCCTCCTCCAGGGTAGTAGGAGGTCACTGCCTTAAAAGAATACCTCTAGGTTTTCAGCATGCCATCCATTTGAAGACAGCAAGTGAATATAAACAGTAGCTTTTTGCAATTGAAGCCAGCGGGTAGGTCATTGCTGCCACCCACCCTTCAGTATTGCCTTTGATGTCAGTACAATGACCACCACACACAGAATGGCCTTTAGAGCTAGCATTCACCTTTAAAGGTCTTGAACCACATCCAGTTGTTGATCTTTCTTACTTTTCAAAACTGTTCCTAGGGGCATGGAGAAGTGGCTCAGCTGTTAAGCACACACAGCCTTTCCAGAGGACCCAAGTTCAATTCCTAGAACCTATATCAAGAAATATACCCATCTGTAAATTCAGCTCCAGAGAGATCTGATTATCTCTGGCCTCTCTGGGCACCTACACACACACACACACACACACACACACACACACACACAGAGAGAGAGAGAGAGAGAGAGAGAGAGAGAGAGAGAGAAATTAAAGGTAATAGTTAATCTTAAAAAAAACTCACATTCCTGATAGACTATGTGTTCATGCTTAGAGTGTTATTATTAAATACTATTTATATAAAAATCTATTGGTACAGTCTTCACTGACCCCAAAACAACTGTATGCAGAATTACTTGTTCATTTATCTGTCCCATTATTCATCCACTTATTTCCCCTTGGACACCAAAGCTCCACGGACCATGAACATCCTGCCTGCGTTTAGACAAATGCATTTACAATCTGGTGGGCAGCTTCTGCGCTCTCCGGAATGTTGTCTTCTTCCTGGCATTTACAGGGACTTAATTTATAAATGCTTTCCTCACGTTGCTTTACTTTGTACGTCAGCCAGGAGACAGGAGACAAGAGCAGAGCTTGTGTGTTCTAACCATTTAGCATTTAAGGAGCCAAGCTGAGAGGCCAGGCCTCTCTTGGGGCCACAGGTCATCTGCTGCAGGCCCTCCTTTACCCTGAATACACCCTTTACATGATGCCCAGGTGCTCCTAACAAGAATGCAGCATTAAATTAATCACTGGGCTAGTTGTGCTGAGTGCATTTAACGCCGGGTTTCTCCGGCCCCGCAATCGGCCTATCATTTTATGGCATATAGGGTATTTTATCAAATGCTACAAAAATATAATTTACTTTAAAAAAAAAACAATTTCCATCTTATACTCTGAACCTCTAACCTGTTATAAAAAACCAAGTATAGGGAATGACGTGTTATAAATGGTAGTTTTGGGCCGTGTGGACCCCAGCAACCCTGCTTATGTGGAGTGCTGCTGAGGAGTCTCCTTCCTCCTGTACCAGGCCGTAAGGTTTACAAAGGAACCGAGAAGGGCCCTGGCAGTTTTCTGATCCTGAACTGGATGCTGAGAATGCTCTGCTGTCTTTCCCACCTGCCCATCACCTTGTCCTTGCCCCCTACTGTTGTTTGTAAGAACCTTCAGCCTCCTTCCAGCCCAACTCTGAGACTGATTCCCACCCCTTTCTGCCCTGCCTTTCCCGTGTGTCTACCAGATCATCTTTATGGTATTTTTACTTCCTGAAGACTCTTCCTCCTTTCCTCTTCCTCCATTTTCCCTCGTCTCCCCCTTGCTCACCCTCCTTTCCTTGCTGCTTCTATCTTTTCCCGTTACCGATTTGCTGCCATGTGTTGCGAATCTCAGGCTCTGACCTCTTCCTGTAAGCTCTCCTCCAGCAGGAAACACTAATACATTGAGACTTGTTGCACTCTTTGTGGGGCCCGCATGACTGATGTTGTCTACAGAGTAAGAGAAATAGCCGAGGATTGCCATGGAGTTCAGGGTTACTTATGAGCCCACTGTGATAGCGGGAAAATGCATACATCTGTATGTGCTTTCCGGCGTCATATTCCACATCAGTTCCCCTTCATCCGTCAGATTTTATCATATTACAATTCGACAGACAGCTCCCAAGAGGCTCAACAGACCACGAGGGGATTCTCTACCCTCTGCTATTCAAATTAGAGTCAACAGCAGTGCCCGCTCCATCTTAAAATATCTCATATTCTCTTTACCATTCATTGAGAGAGTCCAAATATAACAGGTATCCATCTACACTGGGAGAGCAGGTCAAGAAGGCTAAGAGAGTTGGAGGGACTGACTGACCTGCACATTCACTCATGTATTGTGGCTTACTCTGTTTCCGGCTTGTTCTGTCTACCTCTCTGTCTGGTAGGCACTTGAGCTGTGGGCATCCGGACAGTCAGCTTTTGTAACATGGCCTGTCTTCCCTTACAGTGCGGCACCATGGACCAGGGCCTGTATGTAAACCTGACAGAAAGAAACCTACAGGACGCTCAGAAGTTCATTCTGATGCATGAGGTGGTACAGCCAGTGACCACTGTGCCCTCCTTCATGGAGGACAACAGCCGCTTCTCCCACGTGGCCGTCGACGTGGTGCAGGGCAGGGACACACTCGTCCACATCATCTATCTGGCCACAGGTAGGAGCGCTGCCTTCCTTTAGATGGTTTTCTGCCATCTTGTCATTCCTTGTCTTCAATGCCAACACTCACCTTGAAGCAGGGCCGTGTGTCTGTACTCTGTCTCAACAAGCCAAAGCCACAATGTATGCTTACTCTTGTCAACCTTCAGACCTCCTCTTGGAAATCTTACTTTCACTCTTTCTGTCTTGCATTAGAATTTTAACTAGAGATACAATGCCTCCTTTCTTAGTTATTCTTGCTCGCCAGTGGTTCTTGGCATGACCATCTACATTTGGCTAGTTAAAACAAGAGACGGGTTTGTTAGAAGATACTGCCGGGTGAAATTTTTCCGGAGATCTTCATGCTGAGTTCTGATTGGTGCACAGCAGTGCTCGTAGCAAGCTGTTCCTGATAAAGGTCCATGGAAACATCTAAAGAAAGAGCATGTGCAGCAGTGTTTCCCTTGTAGGCTAAACGATGGAGCCACTGTCAGACAGTATATAACAACTAGGCTTCTGCAGAGTTCAAAGTCACTGAGGAATGGACGCATGCTCTCCCTCGCTGCAGGACTCTGACAGTGCAGGGTGCATTGACCACCCTTGGGGACTGACTCAGCCCCACCTTCCTAGCCCCAGACAGAGTAATTTCACTGTGAAGCGGATTCCTCCCATTCTTTGTATAGTGTGGTGGATACTTGGCACTTCCTCAGAAAGTGTGGTTACCTTTTTATGTGGTTAAGAATACTGTATCATTCATTCCTTCATAGGGTCTCTCAATTTATAACTGTGTCTTAATTGCTCAGTTTATTGTATTCACAAAATTGCAATGCCTTGTTGCTCCCCATTGTCAATGAATTCATTTGGCACCCTGGGGGTGCACAGTGAACAGATGGGTACCAGCCTGCTCTCCAAGGGCTTACATTCTTAAAGGGACATGTCTGTAATAAACCAAATAGTATGTAAAATCCATCACCAACAAAAGTGATAAAGAGCCAATGATGTGGGTGCCAGTAGAGGGATGTGGTGATGGATATGCCTGGGAGGCAGCTGTTTCGTGGCTGTACAGTGTCCCCCCGTGCCAGAGGCATTAGACGCTGCACACTATAGAGAGAAACTGGGAACACTGGGAGATGGAGGGTTGGTTTCCAGTCCTGCTGAGTGGTCAGTAATGCAAGGAAAGATGCTACGATTGGATGGGGATGTGGATGGGTATAGACCGATCAGGGGAAACCTGGGGAGTTGCAGAGGGATCCTGAAGAGAAAGTCTTGTGGTATAACTGCTCGGAGCAGCAGTTTGCAGAATGGGGGTGAGCAGGTATTTAGTCCTCATGGGAAGTCAGGAGGAGAGCTGCTTTCTTCTTGCTGTTTGTTTGAAGAGAATAAAAGAAATTCCTTGCCACTATGGGATTGTGTCTCTTTACGGCTTTGTTGTCTTTAAAAACCAGAAGGCTGCCTGACCCATGGTAGATGTGTGGAGTAAGTGGACTGGATCTTCCCAAGGGCGTTCCTGGTTTTTCATTGTAAAGGTTCAGTTTACTGTGGCATAGAAACTTTTTTGTCCTCCTTGGACTTCTAGAGAGAGCTGAGGTCCCCATCTGGTCCTGTGGTAAGGGATGCTTAGGGGTGGAACTGAGCTAGACCACGCCCGAGCTCACATCCTGCTGTCCTGTTACCACCAAAGGAGGCGGTTCTGACCTGTTTACTTTCCTTGAGCTTGCTGTGATCAGCAGCGAGCTCTGAAGATGACTTGAAGGAATTTCTCGTAGTCATCATGATAAGTGCCTCCATCATTTCCCCTTGTTGACTAGAGTGGGCCGCCACTGATGAGGGATGGCAAATGTCAGAACCCTTAGCTGCTGGCTCTTTCTGGAGGCTGGGCCCAACAGTCTAGTGTCAGCTGAATGATGTCAGAGAACGGCTCTCTCCTGGTTCAGATGTGATCACCTGACCTTGTCATACTTATAAGTAGAGAGATATTTCTGGGCTGTGTCTCTTTATTTGAATTTTTTGAAAAACAGTCTTATATATCCAGTCAACTTGCAAACTCACTGCATAGCCTAAAATGACCTCAAGCTTCTGATACTCCTGCCTCAGCTTTCCAGAGGTTAGAATGCATCTTTTTGTAAGGGCAACAGTTGGATTATGAAAGTTTGAGCCTTATGGATTGATTGAAAATGTATTATGGAAAGCTCTGCTTGCTGATACATCATTTTAGGGTTGAGACCCTCAGCTTATGAATTCACATGGCACAGAGAACTCTATGCCCACAGGAGTATATCTGAGAATCTTTATTACAAATCACATGTTTGAACACATGTGAAAACAGTCCAACACAGTGAAGTTAGAGGTCTGACGTGAAACAGTAGCCGGCATCGGTTGGTTATTACATACTTCTAAATGCTTTTAAAAGCAGTTGGCGCTCCTTCTAGAAGCTTTCACGCAGAAGTCTAATTTGAATGACCTCCTGGCTTGGCTCCCCAACCCCACTCTGCAACCCCCATGTCATACACCTCACTCAATGCTGTTTGACTTGACACGCACAGATAGATGATCGGAGGCAGTCCTGCCTTGAATGCGTGCATCTACATGTGACTTCGCCCTCACAGTTCATATGATCGACAGCATCGTGTAAAGGGTTTTAATTAAGCTTGTGCATTGTAAGACAACTGCTGGTGTACCCTTAGGGGACTACAATGTGACAAAAACTTTGACAATCACTGGTAAACCACGTGTCTATGACTTGCTGTATTGTGGCATTTCCTTATTGAATTGGCTGGGCCCAAACCCACAATATCTCGAGGGGTTTTGCGTGTTAGCATTAGCTTAGGCTTGTGGGCTTCAAAAGAGCCCTGTTTACTGACTCTTTCCCCAGGTTGACTCCTTTGTAGAAAATGAGTCACACCGCGATGCCCTTTTTGTTCTACTGACCTCATGTTTTGCTTCTGTTTTAATCTCTTGCCTATTTAAATGCCAGGTACTTATGTGTAAGTAAGCTGTACTACCTGCAATCTCTAGTCCTGTTGGTAGGCGAAGGTACCATATACATCCTTAGTGAGTCTTCATTGCTCGCTCATCAAGTGACTCCTCTCAAAAGGGGTTTTTAGTGGAATGATGAGGTCCTGTAGAGAGTCCTGCTCTAAACCTCATGTGCACATCAAGCAGGAGCATGGAACACTCTGCTGAAAGCTAAAGGCCTGTTAGATCAGCTTCTCAAGTCTAGCTTTGCAGTTTCTATGAGTTACAAACATGTTCCGTTAACCTCTAGGTAGGCTAGTTAACTCTTACAGCATGCCAATGTATTTTTAAAATTTTAAACTTTTTATTCACAATACAATTTAATTTTAGTGTAAGTCACTTCTTTGAAAGTTGTTTGAGTGGGAACTGGGGTACATTTGGGATGGCTACTCCTTTAGAATGCTTAGGACAGGAACCCTCTAAGTGGTTGAGTCTTAAGTGGACAGACTTCGGGGTTTTTACAGAAAGACTACCTCCAAGTCCTCTTGAGTACTGCACCCTGGAATTTCCCTCCTCCCTTGGTTAGAGAACAGCAGACACCATGACATCTGGTCTACTATTTGAAGGCTGTCTGCAGACCTCCCTGTCTCCTTTGTCTCGTGGGGGCCTGGCTCTTAGCTTTGCCTTGGCCTAGGGATCCTCTTATTCCACATGCCTCCTTTAGCCATGCTGCCAGTCTCAGAATTTCTCCTTTCCTTCTAAGACCAGCTGTGGAAGTTTCATTTTTATCTGACCTCGTTTCTGGTGTATTCAAATTATTCTCAAGTTAAATTGCATATTACTTTAGAATGGGTTAACTTTAGATTGTAGAAACTGTTGTACAACTCAGAAGAGTGTAAAAATCAGAGTCAATTTTCTGACATGCAAATTATACTCCAATAATGGATTATTCACAAACGTTTGTTTAAAAGCCTCCAATACAGAACATTAAGAAAATACATAAACATTTACAAACTTTTTAACATTATGAACTTGCAAAATCCCTTCGAAAACTCAAAGCAGGCGGTAGATGGGCATGAAGAGGAAGCCCACACAGGTTTAACTGCTTCTAGCTGTTTGAACTGATTGCATTCTTGCGTTGAGTACTAGTAGGGTAATCCTGCTTTCTCCAGCTGTGGATTTTTATCTTAGAATGAAATACTTATTAAAAAGTTAGAAAAAAGACCTGGCTCGGGACCTCTAGTAGAGAAAGCCTGAGTTCTTCAGGCTATGGGAAAATAAACTTAACAGAATCCTCCACTGTAGGATCAAAAGCCCATTGGCTGCAAATTTACTTCGCTAAATATGCAAGGCAGGGCGAGAGAGGAAAAATCATGGATAGAATGATAATGCATACGGGAGGAGATGGAAAAAGCTCACAGAGAGAAGGGAACAGTAGAAGGTCTGTCCTGAGGAGGTAAATGGTGATATCCTAACACCATGGCAACAGAAACAAAGGTGAAGATGACCAGAGTGAAGGTATACAATGAGAAACAACACAGATTCTAGATGGGAAGTACACACAGACAAGGCAGCATTAGAACAGTCAGTGTGTGTGACCCAGAGAACCACGCTGCAGTGTCTATGACATGACATAATTGTCATGTGCTGTTTGCACAGCCTGAGAAGCTGGCTCTGGAGTTGGAATCACCCCCACCCTCATTTCACACCTAAGCATGTTTGTCTTTAATTGTCCCTAAGAGACCTGATCTGAGGATGGGCTGTCTTCCTTCATAACTCTGACATGGAGGAGGGACCAGCCGCAGAGAAAAAGCTTGTACCCTTGAGAGCAGTTAGAAAGTCAATCACTTCCCACAGAGGTATCTATTATGTGTCCCTTACTGCTGCTGGTCCCTTACTGTTACACCCCAAGGGGAAGCTGTGCCCTGCGTGAGACTCACTCTATTGAACTCATAGCGGAATGCCTTCACGGCTCTTCCCCATTTGACTGCTGATGAATATTTTGTATGCCTGATTTGATGATTGTGTGAGTTATATTCCTGTTTCTGTGCTGAAACACCATGA